CGTTTCGTTATGTGATGATTACATAAATTAGATCATGCTGGAAAAATACTCGCTTGAAGCCTTGAACTTTGGGTTGTAAATGATGAGAACTGATTTGACGACAGTACAGTTTTTTTCTAGTACCTTAAAAGCGTGATCCACCACCAGGTTAGTAACATTTGCCATCACTGACCAACTTACACAAGCTAGCTGAACTGCTACCAACAGCTGGCTTCCTCTCCAGTCCAGTAAACGGGATTTCAACAGCAAACATCGGTCACTTATTATAACATTTACTTAAATCCACACTCTTGACTTCTGAACACGGCATGCTAAAACAAGCAGACATCAAGGCTAGCATCGTCCTGCTGTGTGTCACTAAAACATGAGGGCTAACGTACAGAATGTCGCTAAACACCTCAAGACACAAGTTGAGGCAACAAAAAAAAAAAAAACGAAATGTGGTTTAAATATTCCTAAATGTGAAATCAGTGAAACTTGTCGTCTGAATTTAAATGTCCGGCCAAGCTTACCAGCACAGGAGAGCTACAATGAAGCACACCAACAAAACGCGCAGCCTCTTCATTATCTTCCCGCGGGGACCAACATCCTCGCTTTTTGGGTTTTCTCAGATGTGTTGTGGTTAAACTACACACCGGCTACAAGCTTTCGGTAGGTTTAGTGCCTCCTTTAATTAAAAGTAAGGAAATGACAGTCCTCTAAAGGTAAAACCTACACTTGAGGAAAGCTATATTTCATTGCGCGGAGCAACTGTCCGCCTTCTTTTTTGCTTCGGTAGCCACTGCTGTAGACGAGTTGCTGGGTTCCTGTAAGTTCAGCCCCCAGCTCTGCCGGTCAGCCAATAGAATCAGTTATTAGAGCTGACTAGCCAATCACATGAGAAGTTGTTACGCCGTATTTGAAACAAACTCCTCCCCCTTACGGAGGAGGATGAGTTGGTGAACGTACAGCTGGACGCGTCACATTTTTGTGACAAGCAAATCAATAAAACACGTGATATTTAGTTGTTGCACAAGCATCTGTCAATCCCGGACAAAATGTTTGTTTTATTAGGAGTGAACATGTGCAAATTATTTTAGGGCTCATTAAAAGGCTGTTTGTGCGATAGATAGATAGATAGACAGATAGATAGATAGATAGATAGATAGATAGATAGATAGATAGATAGATAGATAGATAGATAGATAGATAGATAGATAGATAGATAGATGGATAGATGGATAGATGGATAGATAGATAGATAGATAGATGGATAGATGGATAGATAGATAGATAGATAGATAGATAGATAGATAGATAGATAGATAGATAGATAGATAGATAGATAGATAGATAGATAGATAGATAGATAGATAGATAGATAGACAGATAGATAGATAGATAGATAGATTTACCAGCTTCCATGGGCTTGAATCATAGGTATAACAACGTATTAACGAATGAATAGTAAAGGTCAATGGTTTGACCATTTGACCAAAACCATTTAACATTATCAAAACACAGCTGTTAAAACTACACCATATAAGTAAAAAACGTAATCAGCATCTGTTTTGTTTAGTCTTTGCATCATTGTTTTTTGTTTATAATTAGTTTTCGTTTTAGGCAATATTTTTGCGCAGTAAACAACTCCCCCTGACACCCGATTAAAAGAACGATGAAAGAAAGCGCCTCTCAAGCATAGACTGTATACCTATGTATATCAAGAGAAAAATCACGAGGCGTTTCTAACTACATATCCCAGACTGCATTTCAAGATAGTGCTTTAAAATTTGCCTGTCACCATTTGCTTTGTTCACGGGACTAATCAAATAATTTTGATTATGTTTACGAACATAAATAAAAATTAACCATAGTTTAATAGGAAATTGATCAGTTTCCAAGTAAAAACTCTTGTTGTTGTTTTTTTTAATCAGGCGGGGTCCTGAACTGTCAGCACTCCTCTGTAGAGGAGGTAAGAACGTTATAACTGAAGTGAACTTTTAAGCGAACGCAGAAACAATTCAACATAGTCGCTTGCCGCCCAACTAAACGGACGTTTGGCTACTTCGGACCTTCAGATTGTCTCCTTTGACCATGGAACCAGCCCGGATATTTCCGTGTGTCCTGTCCGTGTTTATGTCGCTAATCTTGGACAGGTTCGCGGTGCTCGCTGCCTTTTCCCAGGCTGCGGACAGCGACTTTACATTCACTCTGCCTCCAGGTCGAAAAGAGTGTTTCTACCAAACCATGAAGGAAGATGCCTCTCTGGAGATTGAATACCAGGTCATATGGACTGTTCCGTTCTCGTATTTAAACTAATATATTAGAGCAGCAAACCAAAACCTTTCATCTATGTTTTCATATTTTTGTGTGTCAACATGAACCAACTTTATAATGATTATTCACATTCAAAAATATGTTATTGAGCCCAGGGAGAAGTTAAAAGTTATTATTCTTGTGTTGTGCTTGTTGAAACATTTCATATTCATTCATACCAGGTGACTCCTCTCATACTATTGTGCAGTGTTAACCGACATGCTTACGTATATTGTAGAACCTGTTAGCCGTGCAGCCATCATCACAACTTGAAATTTGGAAACCAGTTTGACCTGTTACTGAGCAGATTATTGCACGGAATGGATCTCTAACATTGGTGTGTGTAAAAATCAGGCATGAGGGACTTTTAAAAGTTGTTGGTTTTCAGTGTTTAAATCCTGTCTCTACAGTAAGACTGAGTTTGTAGGATTCTTATGTTCAATAGAGAGATACGACAAGTACAGTGAAAGGAAAATCAAACATTCCTGACATAATGGCTCTAAAATTAGACATTTATTTAGGTGTAACATTATTTATTTTATGTGTTCATATGATAAATCATCTCTGGGATGATCTAAAACATTTAAATTAACTGGTGACTTCAGTCTCGAAGCTTTTATGATGGACTCATGTACTTCTACCACCCTTAGGTGTTAGATGGAGCAGGTCTGGATGTAGATTTCTTCATTTCCTCTCCCTCTGGTCATCTGCTGTTCAATGACTACCGCAAGTCAGACGGCGTCCACACGTAAGTGAGGAGACGTCGAGCCCTTTGATGCGTGTGTTGTGTTTTCAAGCTTTCAGTGTTTGTTCTGTTTTCCAGTGTAGAAGCTTTGGAGATGGGAGACTACATGTTCTGCTTTGACAACACGTTTAGTACCATCTCTGAGAAGCTCATCTTCTTTGAATTGATCCTGGACAACATGGACATGGCGGAAGACCCAGACGACTGGAAGGAGTACATCCATGGGACGGATATGTTGGACATGAAGCTGGAAGACATCATGGTGAGGGTGTAATCCGAGAACAGGAAAATGTTTTTTTTTTCATCAAATATTTTAAACTTTCACCCTGTGTTGTGTGTCAATGAGAGATTTTGTCATGGTGTGCCCAGTTCTTTCAGGATGACACACAAATTAGCATCTAATCCACCGCCTTCATAGTTGCACAAAAATAGACCATGTCTTGAACTTTCACCCATCTGCTGACAACAGCCGATTGTTTCCCTCTCAGCACGGTGGCTAGCCCCACCCTTCTCACTAAAATGAGTTCAAGCTTGTGTCAGAAGTTACACAGCACGACATGGTCAGAGGCAGGAAGTGTGTTTTTCCGATGTAGAGGAAGCTGTCTTCTCACGGAGGAAGGAACACACCTGATTTGAGCTGCATGTTTACAAACTAGCTAGTGATTTAGCTTTGCTCCATACAGATCACGAGGAAGCTGTCGTCTCAGATCCATTTAGTCTGATGCTCTTGTCTTCTCTCCTCCAGGACACCATCAACAATGTGAAGTCTCGCCTGGGCAAAAGCGTGCAGATCCAGACGGTGCTGCGAGCGTTCGAGGCTCGCGACCGAAACCTCCAGGAGAGTAACTTTGACAGGGTGAACCTCTGGTCCGTGGTCAATCTCTTTGTGATGGTGATCGTGTCAGCGGTTCAGGTCTACCTGGTCCGCTCCTTGTTTGAAGATAAAAGAAAAAATCGCACATAATATCACTGAAAACAGAAGGACAATGAACAAGAAACTAACATGCTTTAATACAGAAACTTTAGCGTTTTTCTTTCTTTTTTTTTTATTATTATTATTTTTTTTGCCTTTTTTGGGTTCAAGAGGTTTCCAACGGGTCTATGCAGACACCGTCAGCGACATTCAGGCACAATCGCCACAGCTGCTGCTTCAGTTTTCAGTCCTCCAGAGTTTGAACTGGTCAGCCTTTCAGCTCTACATCCATTGTTTATTTTCATTTAACTATAAATAATCTCTTTAATGTTGTGTATTGTAAAATCTTTTCTAGCTGCTGGAGAAGTATCAAACATGTCGATGGTGCAAATATTCTTGTAACACAGCTTGATGTTGCAAAATACAAAATGTTCTTTTTGTTCTTTGGACAAGTTTTTCTCTTGCGTTAAGCTGAAGTAGATAAAGAAAATGTTTACTATCAGGATAATTTGTTTTTGCCAAGCAGGAGGAGAAGGTGCAGCCAAACTGGTGTTACGTGTTCCCTTTATGCTACTTGTGCTTAAACATGTACTGTTGTATTGTTAGCTGTTATCTTTTTGTCATAGTTTGAGGCCTTTAAAACATGCATGTTGTTACAGTTAGTAATAATCAGGAGTGTGTGTGTGTGTGTGTGTGTGTGAGGCTGTGCTGGCTTTGTGGCCTGAGTGGCTGCTGGCACCACAACCCTCCACTGTGAAGGTCCATGGCTGCTGCTGCTGCTGGGTGTCTGCTTACAGCCCACCTACCATATGAAGATGTTCGACCTGCCTGGCTGTCTCTCTGGTGACAAAAGTCTATTTCTGACTGACATCTGGAAGGTCGTTGGCTCTACAGCTGGTCGGTTTAACATGTTCCAGCCTTACCTGCATTGACCTTGAGATCTCTTTTAGAACTACAACTAACAGGATTTGTCTGCAGGTTTTAAAACCAACGCTACAGAGTGTAACGTCAGATTATTGCTCTGCCTCACATGCCAGAGAAAATGTTTCTCATTGGTCTTAAATTTTGTGCACTGACATTTTAGATTACAAAATAGTTTAATCAGAAATGACTTGTCTTGAAGAAGGAGCACTTGTCTATATTTTAATAATTCACTCGTTGGCTGTTCTCTTGCTGCTGCTGCATTTGAATATGGTTTTATTTCATTATTTTTGACCTGACAGCTGGAACCAGACCATTCTTTACCTAGGAGTTACTTGTTGCCACCCTCTCACTTAGAGATAAAGGTCACACCTGTATCATTAACTGTACAGAACTTACGTTGGAAGAGAATTAAACCAAATATTTATGAATTAACTGTGACACATCACTTATTTTTTAAATGCCTGCACTAAGACCATTTGTCAAATTAGAAACTGATCTGTTTCAATGTCTTCCTCATTCCTCTTGTGTTATGGTCACAGTGGTTTAAAACTATGCTGACATAATGAATTTCATTTAAAAGAGGGATTTCTAATAAAACGTTTTGATCAATATGAAGTGTTTTAAAATCTAAGACGTCTCCCTCTGTCACGGAGCACGAGTTTGACTATGCAGTTACTCACTGATAATGTGTTGTTACTGTCATCATTGTTGTGGTGGAATCAGAAGGAATACATCGTATTTACACACACACACACACACACACACACACACACACACACACATGTCTCTCTCTCTAATATATATATATATATTAGAGATGTATGCCCATTAAAATAATCCGTAAGATGATTGTTGGGGTTGGCAGAACGGCAACATCATGCAATGAGGAACCGTTTACACGAGAGGGCGCTGTGAGCACTAACAATGGTGCTTCACTTCCGGCACAATGAGGCGATCAGATTTTAGCGTCGCCACCACCGAGCAAGGTTGCTGTTACGGTTAGGGAAATATCAGTTTTAAAATATTCTTACATGTTTTAGAAGAAGTGTTTGTGGTTTCAGGGTTTATAACTGCATGTTTAACTGAGAAAGGCTGTTTTGATATCAGCGTCAAACCGGAAGAAACGGTGTGTGTTAGCCGATCGGGCTGTTCACTTCATTCGCAAAAATAAGCACTAAAATACTATCTATCGTTTGTGTTTCTATGTTTAATCCTTCAGTTTCTTGACGAATTTTATTAGATTACAGTCAAAAGTGTCGATGGCCGTAGCTCGTTGTTAGTTTTATAAACATGTCAACAGTTATTCTCTTTATTAGACCCCCGTTTTGTAGTTTTGATTGTGCTAGTTTACTACTTATATCAGTATAATGTTAAAGTAATTAAATACTAACATATGCTCAGAGTAAATCCAATTAAAGACAGACATGTTTATGGATCTGGTTTACTGCTGAATAAAACAACACATACTTAATATAAATGGGTTATGAATGTTCCTGAATCAGAGATTTTCATCTATTGTTCAGCTTCTCACGCAGCTGTGTGTGTGTGTGTGTGTGTGTGTGTGTGTGTGTGTGTGTGTGTGTGTGTGTGTGTGTGTGTGTGTGTGTGTGTGTGTGTGTGTGTGTGTGTGTTTATGGACAGGGTGATGGGGGCTGATGGAGCCCCGAGTCAGTCTGTGCCATGGCGGAAGGTGCTGTGGGAACGCCAGCCCTTTCCTGATAACTACGTGGATCAAAGGTTCCTGGAGGAGCTGCGGAGGAATGAAGGCATCCGGGAGTACCGCTACTGGGCTGTAGTGAAAGAAGCAAGTCTTGTAGGACAACAGCTGTCTTGTGTGGCCATTTTTATTACCTTCTGGCTGTACATGGAGCAGGTATGACTACAGAGCACCTGATTGATTCAACACAGGAAAAAAAGTGTTTATTTAATACACATCTCTACCTTCTCACAGGGTCTTCTGGCCCCTGAGACGTTGTTGTGGACCAGCCTTGTCTGTGGCTTGCTGGGTTATGGACTCTACCAGGCCTTTACCTCTCAAACTGATTCCTGCAGCGAGACCCGCACACATCTAGCTGATTTGCAGAGTGCTGCTCTTTTCCTTTCTTTCACCTTTGGCTTCTCACCGGTCCTTAAAACATTGACAGAATCTGTGAGCACAGACACCGTGTATGCCATGTCTGCTGTCATGCTGCTGGCTCACTTGGTGTCGTTCCCCTATGGCGAGCCCTCACCTCCTGGGAGCCTCTCCCTAAACGCAGCTCTGTTTGCCTCCGTGTGCTTGGCCTCCAGATTACCTGGTGCTCTGCACACCTTTGCCATGCTGAGCTGTGCATTGCTGGTGTTTGCCCTATGGCCCTGTCTGCTACAGAGGTTGAGGGAGAACTCCCCTCTCCAGTTTACTGGGGTGTGTGTGGGAGTGTGTACGGGAGGAGTCGGAGGTCTGGCGTCCCAGTCGCTGGGCGGAGCTGTGCTTTTATCCCTAGCTGTAGTGAGTGTCACATTTCTCTGTCCCTTGCTGCTTGTTTGGTTGCAGAGGCACAAAGACAACATCCATGGACCCTGGGATGAGGCAGAGATTTGTGAGGACCTCAGCCATTTCCTACACTAAAGAACTGCAAAGTCATGCTGCTGCTGACAAAAGCAACAAGTAAGGAGGAGAATGTTACACGGCAATCTGTTCTTCTCATGCAGATGACAAATGGATGAATCTGCTACTTTTTGTCAGCACTGACCTCAGAACATGTACGAAACATGCAGGGCTGACATACACTCGTGGACTCAGGATGCTATGCAACAATGTGACATAAGTGCAGTCTTACTAGTCTGTAGGAGATGATGTGTTTTATGGGTGACTGGTGCTGTGTGTATTTAAAAATAACCGAGGGCTCTTACTCTTGGGCTGTTTTAATAATAATATATTTTTGATGTAATTCAACTGAACAAAAATGACCAATCTGTTCCCTCGGGTGTAATGGTGACACATAACCAGAGGAGTCTTATTTTGAGAACATCAAAGCAACACAGCCTTCTGATGATCAAGCCAAATCTGACTGAAAATGGTGACATCTGTATTTTTGCTAACTGCTAAAGTTGTTCTTTTAAAAGCAGAAGAGAGCAGAAACTCTTTTAGTAACAGTTCAACCTGCTCAGATTCCATCCCACTGACATACCTGCTATTTAAAATGTTAATGAGAATAAAGATATTGTAATAAAATATTGTTTTAAATAAATTAAAGATCAACAACTCAACTCAGTTTCTTTGTTTTGTCTTTCAGTACAACGTTAAAGCCTCAATCAAAAATAACCAAAACCATTAAAAAAATTATATAATCCTCTCTGGGGCTGCACAGTGGGGCAGTGGTTAGTGCTTTTGCCTTGTAGCAAGAAGGTCTTAGGTTCAAAACCCGGCCTGGGGCCTTTCTGCATGTAGTTTGCACGTTCTTCCTGTGAAATGGTAAATGGCCTGTATTTAATATAGCACCTTCTAGAGTCCTGGAACCCCCAAGGCACTTTACAACACAATCAGTCATTCACCCAGTACTCACACACAGGTGCCACCGGTCCTTCCGAACACCACCAAGGTGGGTTAAGTGTCTTGCCCAAGGACACAACAACAGACTGACCAGGGCTCGAACCTGCAACCTTTCGATTACGGGGCAAGCACTAAACTGCACTGTCGCTCTGTGCATGCGTGGATTCTCTCCGGGTACTCTGGCTTCCTCCCACAGGCCAAAAGCATGGCTGTCAGGTCTCTTAAAGATTGTTCTTAAGTGTGAGTGTGAACATCAGGGCTATTCAATTCCAGGCTGGTATTGAGCATGTTTTGGTTTTAACCCAGCTTCAACACACCTGATTTCAATCAGCAGGTGATTAACTTGCTGCTGCACAGGGGATTCAACCACTGAATTTAGTGTGTTGAACTAACTAAACCACTAAAACGTGCTGGGTACCGGCCCTCGAGGCCTGGAATTGAATAGACCTGGCGTACATGGTTGTTTGTCCTGTGTGTCTCAACGCTACCCTGTGATGGACTGGAACCTGTCCAGGGTGTTCACTGCCTGTTTGCCCAGAGACTGCTGGAGATAGACACCAGCCCCCCACCATTCTGCTTGGATAAGCGGGTATAGAAAATGGATGGATGGATAATCCTCTCTGAGCATTTATTTATGTTAGCACTAGCTATCAGAGCATGAGTGGAGCCGACCTGACGACAACACTCAGTGGTCACTAGGGGTCATCATGTCATTATGAACTGTGTGTTTTCAAGCCCTCCTAGAAACCAAAAGGCTGTTTGCTACTTGAGTGTTTTTGGTGACTCAATAAAAAGCTTTCTTTAAAATTTCAGAAAAAGTTACACAGAATACATACAAGTAATTTCACAAATCGCAACTCTAGTGAAATCAGAGTCAGCTGCATGGTTGGACGTGTAGGGATGTTGATGGAGAGACCGAAAACAAAAACGTGATTATGACTAATTCTAAAAACTGTTTTTATAGACCCAAACTATAACCACAAATGAGAAAAACACAAGTTTATTCACAAATAGCAAAAACATCTTATTAGAGTTAATATTTATACAAAATTCAAGCTTTTGAGAGAAAAACCTCAGACAGCAGCGCACATTCCAGCCTTTACAGCCAGTCGTATTATGTACAAAACAGGCTCAGGACGGAGTGGACTTTTGCAGACATCAGTTCCCAGAAGAGAGGAAGAGAAGCCCAGGAAAGTGCTTCAGCTGGATTATGCATCATTCGGGTCATGGGTGTCTCTAGGTAGTGGTCAGAGGGAACTGGAGGGACCACAGGGGCAGATGGGTGGAGGAGTGCTCGGTAGAAAAAAGCCTTATTTCCCACTTGGGATTGCTGGGGGGTGCCTCCTGCAAAAATCATATTAAATGTGCAAGTAGATAATTTCATACAACATTAAACAATATACAAATATATTTTTCATTCTTTATCTATAAACTGTGTTCTACGAGTCAAAGCGCCCAGACTACAGAGCTAAGAACAACTAGGAAAAAAACAGAGGCTTAGAGTCAAGAGGTAGGGTGGCAAGTGTGTAAATGTGAGTCTGAATATGGGAAAGAACCTAAAGAACCATTGGAGAGAACAGAGGAAATGAGGCAGAGAGAAAAAGAACACAACCAAAAACTAGGGAGGAACCAGCAAAAAGAAGACAAGTGAAGAAAAAGTGTAAGACAAAGGCATATAGAGAAAATAAAAAATAATGGCTGCTGCATGAGAGGAACTCAGAAAGGTAATAAAACAAATGCATGCTTGGAGAAAAGGGAAAAAGAAGGGGGTGAAAGACTGATGCAAAGATGAAAACTTGACAAAGTGCTTGGCCTGTTGTTTCTGGCTTCAGTAGAAAGCTGCACGAAGAGAAGTCCTGTCTGCCGAGGCTGTTGGGAAGGGGAATATGAGAAACACATTTTCCAGCAGACCCCCACCCAGCTCAAATATCAGCCCTCTGTACCCGTGTGCCTCTGCACAGGAATGGCTGATTGTGTACATGTGTGAGTGTCTAAATGCCAGGTCGCTCTAAACCAGGAGGTTACCACATCTCAACAGGTCAGCTTTTAGGACCTGATTTCTGCCCTTTCACAGTCACCTTGGTACACAAGTGGGGGTGCGGTTGTGTTGACCAGCGAACTGCTGCTGAAAGCCATCAGGGGAAACACTGGTCCCTACGTGAGACACCCGGGGAACAGGCGGAGCATGGCCTCGATTCAACAGCTTGCCTCCGGTCACTGAGTTCTTAGGATGACTCGAGCTGAGTAAAGCAGAGGACTTTAAATGGCACGTAACACGGCTCACACACCCTTATCTACTGCATCCATGTATACCTGTGATGCTTTATCCAGGAGGAGTCCACAGGTGGAGGAAGAGGAGTGGTGCAGGTAGAACTGGAGACCTCTCCAATGACAGCAAGTGCCTCCTTCAGGGCAACATGTTTGCGGAGAACTTCTTCTCGGTGCTGCCTCTGCTCCGGTGACTCATCCATCAGAGATGTGCATTCCCCCAACGCGTAGAGCTGCGCCAGGAGCTCAGAGCTGATGAACTCCTTCACCTACGCACGAAGATCGCACACTGCTGTTACAAGTTTAAAGCAGTAGATTCTGGATTTGGACTCAAATACCTAAAAGTCAATGTGCATGTTTTAAAATGTACATTAAACTTCTGGTTTGACACAAGGGCACTTTAAACCACAGCGTTTAACTCACAAAAGGTGGTACAAAAGGCTTACACTATTAATCATCAGGTGCATCACTGTCTTTGGCATTAAATCTCTCATGGTTTTATAGATGATGCTCATGTAGGAGTCCACCAGGTTACGAATGGTCTCCACTTGGCGCTCCAGCTGAGGGTTCGTGAACTTCTCAAGTCCATTTCTGAACCCATCTTCCTAGAAGAACCACACACACACAGACACACACACGCGCGCGCACGCGTGCGTAAACCTTACATCTTGTGTCATGCGCTGCAGGGATAACACAGTGTGTAGTTTTCTGCTGTGAAACTTGCATGTGTGTAGCTTCTTGTCAGCTTTACTGTTGGTGACAGGAAGAAAAACATTTGATGGGATGAGAGCAAGGGGAGCCGAATGGAGCGAACATAAAAGACAAAGGCAATGAGAAGTAGGCAGGAGAAAGAGAAGGGGGAGTGAATGAGGGACGAGGAACTGCTGATTAGAAACAGACTAGAACACACACACACACACACACACACACACACACATACATATACACACACATATTGCAATTACATCATGGACCAAGAATGTGGGCTAAAGAGCCAACGACAGAGTAGGATGGAAGGGGTGGAGGACTCACTTTTTCACTTTGGCACTGGTGGGGAGAGAAGGGGAACATGGAGAAAGCGGGGTACAGGGTTATCGTTAGGGATTGGGGTTGGCAAGGGCAATGAGTGCATGTGACACAAGGCATAAAGAAGGCAGGTGGAAGTCCTTATTTCTAGGCTGAACTAGAGGCTAATGTACTAACTTTCTCAGGGTAGACTCCAGCTCGCAACAGAGATGCTTTCCAGCTGTCCAGCTCTTCCTGAGAGTTACAGGCCAACTCCAGGCATCTGTAGTCCTTATACACGTTCCTGTAATTTAACACATTAGGGTCAGATGTGGTCAAGAGTTTCCACAAAGTAATCTGTTGTGTTGTTTTGTACGATTAAAAAACACTAAGCTAAGGGGAGATTTACTCATTTAATGGTGAAACTTGAAAAAAAAAAAGAATATGGTGCAAGAGTTCATTTCTTTCAGTAATTTAACTTAAAGGGTGAAATTCATATGAGACAAACTCATTCCATGCAAAGCCAGATATTTAGATTAGAATATTGTAGAAAGGTTTGACATTCTAGACTCAAATTGTCACTCTCTAATCAGCTAATGAATCCTAAACACCTACAAAGTGTCATGCAACCTCCCTCTCAGCCATCAACCTCCTCTAGGGAGGCACCACAGAGCCGCTCAGACTCCATTACCCAACATCCCCAGCGCCAGGCTTCCGGTTCACGTCACCCGCCAAATCTATGTAAGGAAGTGCCGCACAACGCCGACTCACTCAGTCATCGTTAGAACCGAACCTAACCTAGAGTCCAAACCAGATCGTCTCAGATCACGAAGCCCGTTCAGACCAGACCAGCCAGATCTAAGAGTCCTGCCTGTTCTTAGAGACCAGCCTCAGACCAGGAGTCTCCGTGTTCAGCTGTGTCACCATACAGCTGCGCACCCGGCTCCCAGATTAAACAGCGTGTCCATTCAGCCCGGCGTCAGTCACTCCGCACTTGGGTTAAAAGCCACGCCACATCCAAACTCTCGCCCAGCTCGAGTCACCCCGTTACACAAAGGGTTCCTGAGCCTTTAGATCGGTGGCGCTCAGTCCTGGTCCTGGAGGCCAGTATCCAGCAGGTACTGATTTAAATCCGCAGGTGATTAACATGCTTCTGCAGAGACTGTTGAACTGCTAAATGGGTGATTTAACCACTCAATCAAGTGTGTTGGAGCAGAGAAACAACTAAAACATTCAGGATACCGGCCCAGGGCCAGCTCCAGGATTGGGTATCCTGCTTTAGATGGTTTCTCTGTCCAAGTTGGATTACTGAAATGAATGAATTTTTTGCACCGTATTCTCATTTTTTGAGTTTCACCAGTACCTCATTGTCTGAAATACGTTTTTTTTATTTTAAATAAAATAGATTAAGCTTGGGCAGCGGTAGCACAGATGATAGGACGGGTTGCCTCATGGTGGAGGATCACGAGATTAATCCCAGCCTTAGGGGTATTCTGTTGTTGTGTCCTTGGGCAAGACACTTTACCCAACTTGCCTGTGTTGGTGGAGGTCAGAGGGGCCTAGCCCCATAGCTTCCCATCACCGGCAGTGTGTGAACGTGACTAATGGAAGCACTTTGGGTATCTAAGCTCTATATAAATCCAATCCATTATTATTGTTAATAAAGTTATCTCTCTAAGAATGAACTCTGAGCATGTTATACAGCAACATTATTAGCTTGTCATCTGATTATCTACACTGTAACCCTAGATTAAGTTTCAACATAAACTCTTTAGTAATGACTATGTAATTTTATGTCCGTCCGTCCGTCCGTCCGTCCATCCGTCCGTCCATCCGTCCATCCATCCATCCATCCATCCATCCATCCATCCATCCATCCATCCATCCATCCATCCATCATCATCCACTTATCCGGAGTCGGGTCGCGGGGGCAGCAGCCTAATCAGAGAGGCCCAGACTTCCCTCTCCCCAGCCACTTGGGCCAGCTCCTCTGGGGGAATCCCAATGTGTTCCCTGGCCACGTGAGAGACATAGTCCCTCCAGCGTGTCCTGGGTCTTTCTTTAGGTCTTCTCCCAGTTGGATGTGCATGGAAAACCTCACCTGGGAGGCATCCAGGAGGCATCCTAACCAGATGCCTGAGACACCTCATCGGGCTCCTCTTTATGTGGAGAGCAGCGGATCTACTCCGAGCCCCTTGGTGTATAGCTTTTTGTTACTAAATAAAACCTGCAGTGCATCATGATTATTACTCATTATGTTTCTATCAGAGGGGGCGGGGCTATTTTCAGACAAACTGCACAGTGAAGAGTTTGTTCGGTGGCTAGCAGAGCTTTGTCAGGTGTCTTACATGTTAATACTGCTGTTGCTTAAAGTTCCCTCTTTCAACAAAGCTCAGGTATATTTAAATTTATGTTATTTGCGTGGACTGACAAATACGTAATACTGGTATAAATGAAGGTGCGTGTAGCCATGTTCTTTTACTTAAAATGTAAAATATTAGCCCTTTTTTTCTTTAGTTGTGTGAATAGTTCAACAGAAGTTTGGGCAAAGACCTGAACCAACAACGCATGGATGGACGCAATCGTGTTGAGATATTTGGATCCAGACAAAGGGAATGTTAGGAGGCTGTTGCCACAGCTTTCATGACAAACTAAGGTTTGTGTATAGTCGTTTCTTGTGAGTTCTTAGGAAGCTGAAGTAAAAAAATGATGAACACAAATGTGATTGATTACACAGCCCTTTACAATTATCACAGTTAAGCTTTACAACTTGTTTGACACCTTGCTAAAGTCTGACCCGTGTATCTTTGCTTATTTTTAAATGAAAGGCTATGATGTTGTGGTTACTGCAGCCATTACATTTCTCAGTAAACCTAAATGAGTGAGCCTTTTATTTGGAAACCACAGAATAAACACATGCTGTTTGAAGGCAAAATGCAAAAAAATAAATAAATAAATAAAATCACTTTGCAGGTTGGGAGGAATTCTCCAGTATTTTATATGCATTCTCATTGAAGCTGCTCTTCCCCTCCAGTCTGTGCACTAAGACCCCTTTAGCCTATATAACCAACACTTGGAGCTGTGGAGCCGACACGAGAAACAAAGACACAACTATAGGGTCTGGAGTGGGCTGTGGCCCATCTGTTAAACATTTTTCTTTAATCGCCCAGTTGTTTTGTTGTTCTCTTCTCACATTCAGAGCACACAGCAATTAACCTCAGACATGTGAAACCTGTGTGGGTGAAGAAACAGAGAAAGCTATGTAGGTTTTAGAAAAACATAAAACAAAAACAGATTAGGAAAATGTTGGTTTTTTTGGGCTTACGACGGCTCAGAAAGAGAGAAAGTGAAACGTCAGGGAGGGTGTGGTGTCTAATGGATAGGGAGCCAGGCCAACCATGACCATGGCCTGACTAGAGTACTATTATGGTACAATAAAAACTCTAAGATGTGATGAAGTTTGTCTTTGAGATGATTTGCCTCTTCTATCCACTTTATTCTTTCCATGCTCTCCTAAGCTCGTGGCCTGTATGAGCTCGTTTTTTCTCTCCAAAGTTGAGGAATTTCTGCAGCGCTACAACTGCTTGAGATTTGAAGAGTTTCCTGAGGTTTATGATTCCTGTCATACAGGGACAAAGCAACTGCTATGTCTGCCCCCCACCACACACACAAACACAGAAAGAGAAACAGAGAGCATGAGAGAGAGGTGGAAGGGGGGGCGCCACAGGACGGACTCTGACACATTCCTGGCCGATGGCTCTGATACTCTCTCTCTCTCTCTCTCCTGTTTTCTCACTCTCCTTAACTCTTCCAGCTCTTCTCTCTCCCTCCTTTTTTGTGGTGAGTGGAGCAATTCTTTCCGAACAAGAGCAGCCTCATCTCTGATCCAAGCTCTCTGGCTTTGATTAGCTGCTTAATGAGCCTGCCATCGGTATGCTGTGGTCTATAGGCACACTCTCTGCAGAGCCACGCTCACATATGTACAAATGCACTTTCAAATCTGGTATTGTGTGTCTGAATTCAACACAGCACAGAATTATAAACAAAGCCCACATGGTTTGGCATAATCAGCCAGGCTCTGAGTCAGCTCCAACTCCTAAACTCTTTTGTTCTCCTTTTTTATTTTCCTCTAGCTTTGTCACGACGTTTCACTCCAATCAACTCTACCGATGCAGCGTTGTCCTCAACAACCAGTACGCAGAAATATACATTCAAATCAGGTGAGAAAGTTAAAGAAAGCCTGACACATACTCTCTTTTTCTCTCAAACATTTATCCACCCTCGTAAAATATCATGAAGAAATATCAGCGAGCAGGTGACAAGAGCAGAACTCCCTTTTCTGACTCACCCGGCACACACACACACACACACACACACACACACACACACACACACACACACACACACACACACACAAACCTTGACTCAGTGTTGAAGATAGCGAAAACAAATTTGCTGGACATGAAGCCCTTTTCCACATCTCTGAGCTTTAAGTTGTCCAGAGGAAGCATGTACTTCTTCTCCTTCTCCTGAAAAAGACAAGAGTGTGGAGAGATTAAATCTGACAGAGGTATGCAGAGTAAAATATGACATCACAGTAAAACAACTGGTGTTGGTGGAAAGACACAACAGAGACGAGATTCATTTGGAGGCTAAAGATAAAAAATGGTCCGGTAGTATTTTTTTTCAGCTTGGAGGAGAATGAAGGCTTTTGGAGTGTGAGGAGAAAAGTGTGGGGACATGAGCAGGATGAGTGGATCGGAAGGGCTCGTTTCAGATGATGTGTCTGGATGTCAGCGTAACCCGTAGTGACAAAACACCAATGAGAGGATGCAGAGGCGGGAGGGGAAAGTAGAAAGAGATGCCCGTAAGTCTATAGTCCATCACCACCATGAGGACTTATGAATGACAGAGAGCAGTTGGAGGAGTGGAGAGGCCGGTGTGAGGAGAACCAGACTGTATGGAGGCAGGGTACATCACAGAGTTGAAGCAAAACTGAGAGGAGTATGAGGGGGAAGAAAAGAAAGAGAGAAGCCGGGCCCACATGTGAAAGTCATTACTCAGACGAAAGCTCTAACACAACATTTCTCCTAAAGTAAAGCCCTTCCCCCTCCTCTCTGGTCTCCAGCCCCGCTGACTAACCTCTGAGTAGAAAGACTGGTCATAGGTATAGCATCAGTGTAATAAAGGGAAAGATGGCCTCCAAAGGAGTATTCTATGAGTGTCTTTGAAAAACCCTGGATGATGTGTGCACCAACGCGCACTCAGGTCCCAACTTTAAGGTGTGTACGCATGCGGAATGAGCTTCGACACTACGTTTAGTTCTTCCCTCTGTCAGAGCTCTCCTGAACCCCATGACTTTCTTCATTTGCTCCCCCTTTCCTTATTTCCAAAGAGGCCCACTTCCTGTACCAGACACAAAAAAAGCCAGAATGTGATTGGCGCTCGTACAGCGACATCTGGGATCGCTTTAGTCAGAGAGGGAGGAGACTGGAGTTAGTATAGAGTGCACTGATGGGGTTGAAGTAAAAACTTAGAGATGTGACACAGAGGAAGAGGAGGGATCATGGATGATAGAGAAGTAGATGGAGCTGAATTTAGCTAAAGTAGACAAGGAAAGAGTCAGGAACAAAGATTGCAGGAGAGAGTGCGCAGAAGAAATCAGGAGAAACTCCAGACCTCTGCAAAGTTGATTCCCCATGGGCTCCATCAACCCATATATGGCTGCTAAGTTCCTCCCCAACTCTCTCTCCTTCTCACACCCCCCTTATTTCCTTATGCCTTTGCTGAGTGAACAGGCAGATCCCTGGCTGAATGAGCGAATGTGCCACGTCAAGACTGGATCCTAAGTTAAGACACTGTCCTGTGGACGGCTGGCCCAAGACACCTTAGCATCTTCGCGGGAGGAACGCCCGATGGAGCGGATGTCTGATGTGTGGTGACCTCTTGCCCCACAACCCAGCATGCAAACCGGATAGTGGAAAAAGGACAGAATACCAGAGGAAACATTTTGCCGACTCCTCTCCGCCACAGGCGGGACTGCGAGCAAACAACCGGAGATGGAAAAGGCGAGGCCGGAGAGACGAGAAAGTGAGACAGGGTCCTGCTCCGTCATCCCAGTGTTCAGACTACCTGTTCAGGATCTTACTGGTGTACAGTAGTCTGCACATTGGTTAGACTGTGCATGGAAGTGCATCGGCAGCCTGTAATAATGACATCTGCTAAAGCGACTCTGGACAGCACGAACAGCAACACGTACGCTTTTATTTACTGAGGCAAATATAGAATCTAGTATTTCCTTTATTTTGATTTTAAATGTCTTTAAATGCGCAAAAGATAGCAACCGCTTTGATTTATTCATGCTGCTATCAATTCAACATCAAGTTGAGTGATTTCAATTTGTATTGGCCGTTAGCTTGATAAAACTATACAACTTGAGTTAAAGCATCAAAACCTATTAACGCATAGAAGGTCAACAAAACCCGATCGGTTTGGTGAAATGTTTGACTTGTTTGAGTCTTTGCATGCGTACATGCGCTCCTGCATATGCAAACACCATGACACTGATTTGTATGTTGTGCACTTGTGGGGATGTGTGTCTAATTCACAGCTTTATCAGGGTGCTTGTGGAGTATCATACATCAGAGCTGCTGTCTTCCTCCTTCTAAGACTAATGGATATGTAATGTGGAACAGGCCTCACACACACACACACACACACACACACACACACACACACACACACACACACACAGAGGAGTAAGTGCAGGCTGAATGTGTATAGGCACAAGCTGTCTGTCTTTTTTCAGGCAGCTTGGTGGAGCCCTGGCAGTTGAGGGGTGCAGGAATGTATGTCTGCTTAGTGTGCTGTGTAGATTAAACTGTGAACCGTTACACTGGTATGAAGTCAAAGCAGGAGCGCGGAAAAAGGAGATGCACTGCACAACTGCCAGTAAGCTAAAAAAATGTGTGGATGGAAGTAATTATTAGACAGATAGCAAGGGCAGGGTGATATTGGAGTTTTGTTGGGGGGGGGGGGGGGGGGGGTGAAGTGAGAAGAGATGTAAAGATGCTGTGGAGAAGTAAAGTAAGGTGGGGGGAGGTCAGCAGTACAGAAAGCCATGTGGGATTTCTCTGGGCAGATCTTGGACACTGGTGTTTGGACAAAGCTTCAGATTTTCCAGCCAGGAATGTGCTGAGTCCCAGGGAGACTGCCAACCGCAGAAAGGAGGGGAAGAGAAAACGGGCGAGACAGACAGAGAGAGAGAGAGAGAGAGGGAGAGCAAGGAGGAATATGAAGGCAGAAGAAAAAATAAAATAAATGCAGGCAGAAGTTGAAGAAAAGAGAAATGTGTGTGGAGGTGGTGTGGGCGGGGTTTCGTGAAAGCGGGAACTGTGAGAGAGAAGAAGCAGAAGATTGGCCCGTGTGTGTGTGTGTGTGTGATAGTAAATCTGATCTCCTGTGATAACACGCGTGACTGAGAATATGCTAAGGCCTCCCAAACACAAACAGCTGATAAACCTTATGACTCAGAGAGGGACCAAAGCATTGGTGATTTAAGCCCTGGTGCACCAAATGATTGGTCCACCACAGCAGTCCCATCGGGACTTACAAGCAGCGTGGTTCTATTGCTCTGGTGTGGTCAGAGCACATTTACGTGCTTGCATATGTACTCAAGTGTGATGACAAGAATGAATGAGTTGATGCTTAATAACCTTTTAACACTGAGTGTGTACAATCTGCATGCCTGGGGCTGCATCTGGAACACTGTTTAACTGACCTGGTGTTTATCTGAAAAGTGACCTTGTATGTGTCTGAGTGAGTGTATATTTTTCTCTGCTATTTGCATGCCACTTTGTTTACATCAGAGCCAACACGTATACTGGATACTGTATATACAACTGAGGCCAGTCTAAGAGTGTGTGTGTGCGTCTCAGTTTGGCTTGGGGCAGCTCCAGCTGTGTCAAAGTGAGCGGCTCCAAATGCCTAAACTCCCAGAAGAGGAAGAAAAGGAGGAGTAAGGGGGAGGAAGAGGGGGGGGAGGGGGTGGTAGAGGAATGAATGGAGGGGGTGAGGGTCACTCGCAGGTCCAGGTGGCAGGAGAGAAAAGCAGCAGTTAGAAGGCCATGCAGTTGCGTAAGCAGTCATAGCGTTTCTATGAAGCTGGAGCCTCGTTGCTTATCTTAGGAACGCTGTTTTCTAACAATTTTACCACAAAACTTTCAAACAATTTTTACCTACTCTCTCCAACAGTGTGTACACAACACATTACAGCAAGACCACCACACAATCCATTGTCAGTGTTTTCACAGAGATCTGAATGTTTACAGGCTCTGGTTTGCAGTAAAACCCCTCCTCTGACCTCCGAACTGGTCCTCGGCGCTTCCCCCTTCCTATGACACCAGCGGTGACCAGATGAGACTGTTGTGGTGTGTCTGCCTGTCTACACTTGCTGTGCAGACCTTCTGATCCTGTACAGCAGGCACAGACAGGCAGACAGATGGCAGCCCCACTGACATCAAAACATCTCAGCCACCTCCGTCATATTAACAGTCAGAACTTTTAGATTTTTAAAGCTGTGATAACAAGAGCAGTGTCTCTTCGGTTTCATTCTCTGACGTAACGTGCTGTTTTTGAAAGCTGTGAGATGTTTTAATAAACTTCTGATGAACTGTCTGGGCTGCTGTATTTGCTCATTCCATTTAAAAGTCACTCTAATTCTTGATTAATGAACATAAAAAGTGAGTATTTTCATAAAGCTCACCTCTTCATCTCTGAACCAGGACAAGCTCTCTGTTGAAAGGATAAACCAGAACTCCTTGGCTCCCCCTTTCATTATGCCAATGTTACTGATGGTCAGCCAGCCCTTGTGTATGACCTACATGACATCAAAACAACACAAACAGGAGCTGAGATGACAACAGCGTTAGTCTGTCACTGAGAGGTCAAAGGAAGCTGTTTATAACACAAAGACCTTGCTAGCTAAAATAAAAGTAAAGATGGGCTCAGGAACATTTGTAGTGAAGCTGTGCAAAGATTCTTCACATCAATTGCATCCTGGTACAATCACCAAAACATTTTGTATAGACAACCAGTAATGAAACAGAACATTAAGGAAACATGTCAGGACTTTACATTAAGCATAGAAAACAAAAGTAGCATCACATCTAGGAAAAAAGAAGGCTGGAAGAGACCAGCAGCACTGTGAGGAAAGATGAACAAGGAGGAAAGCTAGTAGAGATAATGTCCCAATTTAACATCCTGCTTCTTTTGTTGCAGTTGCATACATTTATAGAGCAAGAAACCAGAAATATGGATTTTAAACAACTGTAGGACAGAAAGAACATAGCCAATAAGAAGAATAACAGGTCAGTTGCAGATGCTGAAAAAGAAAGAAGGTGTTGTGCCAAATTTGCTCTGCATGCAAACCCAAAGCCCTTAAAGTGACTCCTGCACACACACACACACACACACACACACACACACACACACACACACACACACACACACACACACACACACACACACACACACACACACACACACACACACACACACACACACACACACACACACACACACACACACACACACACACATCTTCAACAGAGGCAGCAAGAAAGAAAAGCCTGAAGAATAAAAATTTGGTTTCCTACTATTAGCCTTGAGAAGGAGGCCACACCCTGGAGAAAAGCATGAGATAAAGCAGCATCACCATGGAGTTCATCTGTTTTTGGGGTATGTTGCCATAGGAATCACGTATAAATAAACTATTATAAAAGAAACATGATAGACTGTGTAAATGTGTGAAGTTTTCTTTCATTTCTCTGTGCTGTGGTTACAATGCACTGTTGTTAAACACACATCGTCAGCTTCATGTATCAAGACCCCTGATCCAGCACACTAGCAGCATGTTTTTCATTATCGCTGCTTTCACAAAAAACGCACGACACATAAATCAAAGCAGGGAGAAAGAAAATTTGTAAATTATGACTTGGAATGCAGAACCCAAGTTGATGCAAACATAACTTAGATTTAACTTCTAATTTTAATGAAGATAAATGACACAAACCGAGCCCTAAAACTGAGAAGGAGAAAATATGTAACTTAAACCAATTCACACACAGTTTACCGACAGTTCAACGGTGAGGCAGTTTAAAAGTTTTCTTTGATAAAAATAAATGTATTCTAAGTGTATTTCATTTAGTTTTTAAAGCACCTCCCACCACCAATCAGTGAGGCCCAGAGTGCTGAAGGCTAAAAAGGTACAAGACAAATTACAGTTTTACTTCAGAACAAAGCCTCACCTGGTTCCTTGAGCTCTGTGCTGAAGAGGTGCCATTGTTTTGTTTTTGCACATGCTGGGAACTAAAAGAGATACAGAGCATTTATATTAAACTAACAAATTCCTGATTTGATTTGGCTTTAAAGCAGTGAGGTCACTCACTTTGTGAAGCCAATGAAGTCTTCATGTTTGGTATTTATGTAGGCCAGCTGGATGTCGATAAGCATTAAGACCTTATCAAGCAGACGTGCATAAACCAGAACAGCAGATCATTATACAATTGACTATAACACGTTGGACTTAGTGAAATCTTGTTTGTGAACAACCTGGTCCCTGCATTTACTCTCTTGCTCTCGAATTTCAGTGACAACTATCCTCTCCGTCTCATCTCGCAGTCCAGGGAAAGAACTGAGCTGCAAGAAAACAAAAGCAGCACAAATTATACGCAGAGAAAAGCATTAAAAACACAACGCATGTACACCAAACACACACATTTATACCTTGCTGATGCACTGGTACACAGTGGAACACAATTCTTGACTGACCATGTCAATAAATTTAATACATGGCTCTTTTAAACTTGATATCTGTTTCTTCACTATGGCTTCAAACGCCATGTCAGGTGTGAACAAGCCTGTCCTGTTGGGAAAAAGGAAACTGTCACAGAAAAAGTGTCAGCTAGCCCAAAACATTTGATGCACATGTTGGATTTTCTGAACTGTACCTGACTCCATGTATGTTTCTAATGGCGTAGTTGATTTCCTGGCGTAGTTTCCCCTCATCAGACTCAATCTTGAGATAAAACATTTATGGTGACCGTACTACTGAAGAACATGAAGAACCTTTGCGCCCTTCCACACTACGTGCATGATGTTTGCAGATAAAAGTAATTCCAAGCACCTCACACAAACTCACATACCTTCGCCAGTTCAGAAGGGAAGCGCTCGTGAAAGATTTTATTGATCCTAGCACCTCCTGACAGAGTAACTGTATCTACTCTGTCACCAGACCCCTCAATTAACTTCTCAAAATCAACGGCCAAGCGCTGAACTAACCTACAGGACAGAAACATAGAATTAAAAGAAAATGTGAAACAGAAAGTGAATACGAATATGCACACGCACGCATGCACACACACACACACACACACACACAATGACTGACTGTAGCAGAGTCTTGGTCCTGCGTGCGGGATCATCTGGACTAAAGTGTTTGTACTCTTCAGCCTCCTTATGTAAGGACAGGAGCAGGCTCTGCAGATGACTACGGAAGGATGGAAGGGTGTCTCGGATGTGGTTTGTCAGTTGCTGCAAACAAATACTGTCAATACACACACATCCCATGTTTATGTTCCCATGTAAGCATATGCATTTGCATTGTTAACCTGATTAAGGATTCTCTGTAAATAAGGGGTTCCCATTTTTTCAGCCAAGTGTTTGTAGGCTGGATGAGACAGGAAGAACTTCCTCTCAGACTCCAGAGCTGCCTTAATGTCCTTTTTCCCATCAATGTCTTTCTGACTGCGGTTCACCACCCCTATGTAACCTGGCGAGGAAAAGGAAAAGGTGAAATGGAAATAAAGTGTCTGTGATAGCTAAAAGGTTCACTGAATATATCAAGCAAGGACAAAAAGGAGAAAAACTCTCATCTAAATTGCATTTTGTGATGTGTCCTTGGGAACTCTTCCCAGAAAAACCATTTGTTCCATTATGGCTGTAGCTCACATAGAGATTTCTGTGTAGTGAGCCAAATCCACAACTTAGATGTAACAGCACAAGATTTTATTTATCTTGTGCTTTCACTGAATCCTGCTACCAGAGCGGTTATGTCAATGGGACTCCATGGCTAATGCATTTGCACTGAAGAAGAAGCATGAAGAGCCCAACAACTGGAGGTGCTTTACCCATTCTGTACACACTGCCCCAGTAGCCTGCAGGCTGGTATCTATTCCTCTCTGTCTCTTTCTTTGACAAACACTCACTCCAAAAACACAAAACACTGCAAGACCAAGGGTAGGTCGGTGCTTTCAAGCATTTCTTACAGTTCTTCTCACTGTTGGCTATTTATAAATCAATATTTATTATCTATTATTAGCTATAATTTTTTTTCTGTTTGTATGTGGGCTTGTATATGCATAACTGAGGACATTTTTTTTTGCTTTCTCCTGTAAACTGGGGACATTCTGACTCACATGGAAACTCACATCAAACTATCTTCTTGTTGGTATTAGAGGTATTGTGTGAATAAAGTTTCAGTTACGTTTAGTAACAGCCAGGTAATGGTCATTGGGGGGGGGGGTCAATGAATGGTTCTCACTCTGAACTCCAAAATTCTCACCAACTGCTCAGTCTCCATTTTATGTTGCAGTCTCTAGAGCCGAGTCGTAATATGAATTGGGGCTCGTCCGGGATCTGTCAAACCATTGGAGGAGACTGAAGCTGGAGGTACAGAAGCTCTGTCCTGCTCTGTTATGTGAATGACTTTTGAGAAGCCTTTGTGTGTGGCTTGTGAAGAGCCCATCTTTTTCTTCTCTATGGACCTTTGGGCTCTAGAGACTGTGGCTCCTGTTTAGTGCAGGCATACCGTGGTTAAGTCGAATGTCCATAGTTTGGTTAGTTTGGTGCAGAGGTTGGCTTACTGGTGGTGGATCACATTTAGATGTTACTGGCTGGGTGACAACAGTAACTTTGTGTTTGTGTGACCAGAATAGCAGAACTCCATCAACATTAAAAGGTCTTAGTTTAAAACTCTTGCCTGCAAGGTGATGAGAAACATGCATTCTTTCTAAATTAATTCAAAGGAACACTTTTCTCCTTCGGTGATGGTACGTACCTGTGGAGTAAAATGTATGTCGCGGTGAAAATGAGTTTGAGATAAGGCTGCAAGTTAGATTGAAAAAGATATATTCAGTACAGCTGCCCACCTCTGCGTAAGGGAAGCAGACGGTTTTCTAGTATTTCCCTGGCATTGGTTCCTTGATCCATCAGATCCAGTTTTGTGATGACACCAATTGTTCTCTGACCTATGGGAGGACAAAAGAGGATTTTCTTTAAAACAACTAGATTGTTTGAAGGGTTTAGTCAATGTTGTCATTTTTTGTTTTATATAATAAAAATTCAACTCTTGTAAAGTTGAGGATACTTTAAGAACATTGATGAAAATGCTTTTAAATGCATGCTTCATTGTTTTCACACATACAGTGGGATGCGAAAGTTTGGGCAGCCTTGTTAATCTTCATGATAATCCTGTTTAATTTGTTACTTTTTATGATGAAATCTTTCAGTTGAATATATCAAACAGGAGACACACATGGTGATATTTGAGAAGTGAAACAAAGTTTATAGGATTTACAGAAAGTGTGTCATGTTCTGTGTCCCCTTGGTCGCCAGCCCCCTCCTGTTCGTCCTCTGCGTTCCCTCATGTGTCTCCTTGTGTTCTCCAGCTCCCTCTAGGCTTCCCTCGTGTTTCCTCCTAGTCACTCCCGTGTAATTCTTATTGGTTTGTATTAGTCCTCCTCACCCCTCTAGTCATTAGTTGTTTATCTTTGCCCTTAGTCTTTGGGTTTAGTTATTTAATGTTTTATAGATTATGGTTTATCTTTCCCTCTGCTTAAGTTCTTTCCCCATTAAGTTTATTAATGGCACCTGTCTTCCCTCCAGACCTCACTCCTCATACCTGTCACCTGTTCCCCTGATTGCTCCCCTAAGTGTTAAAAACCCTGTCTTGTCCCTCAGTGTTGGTTGGTCTATTGTCTTTGTCAGCGTTGTTCTGCCCTCCTCTAGTAACTCCAGGTCCTTGCTCAAAAATGAGCTTTTGTTTTTGTAATTCAGTGTTCCTAGATTTTTGGCTTGGCTTCCTGCCCTTGGAAATTACTCATCATCCTAATAAAAGGATTTTTTCATTTATTCAACCGCTCCTGCCTGAGTTGTCTGGATTTCTGCATTTTGGGTCCAAACCTCCTGCTCTCAACGTGACAAAGTGTGCAATAATTGTTTAAACAAATTTAGGCAGGTGCATACATTTTATTAAACCCAAAACCTTTAGAACTAATTAGTGGAACTCTAAATTGCTTTGGTAAGCTCAGTGACCCTTGACCTCCATTCATAGCTGAATCCAGTTTTAAAAAAACAGTATTTATGGGGGCCAACTGTAAGTTTCCCTCCTCTTTGAATATTCTCTGAAGAGTAGTAACACGGGGTCTCAAAACATCTCTCACTTGAACTGAAAACAAAGATTGTTCACCGTCATGGTTTAGGGGAAGGATACAGAAAGATGTCTCAGAGATTTCAACAGTCTGTTTCCACGGTTAGGAACATATTGAGGTAGACCACTTACAGTTCAAGTTAAGGCTGGAAGTGGAAGACCAAGAAAAATCTCTGATAAACATAAGTGAAGAATGGTGAGAACAGTCAGAGTCAGTCAACCCACAGACCAGCACCAAAGACCTACAACATCATCTTGCTGCAGATGGAGTCCCTGTGCATCATTTAACTATTCATAACACCTACAAGGAGAGGCTGAACGTGGGAGTGATGCAGAGGAAGCCTTTTCTCCGCACAAATCACAAATAAAGCTGCTGAAGGTTTACTAAAGCACAGTTGAACAAGGTATTTTGGAATAAGGTGCTGTGGACTGATGAACCTAAAACGTCTCTGTAGCGGCACCAAGACTCTGGAGTGTGCTGCCACTAAGAATTAGGTCGGCCTCTTCACTGTCTGGTTTTAAATCTCTTTTGAAAAACCATTTTTATCATTTGGCTTTTAACTCAGCATGAGTCTTTTTAGTGTTGGTTCTTAAGCTTTAGTTTTTGTGCATTTTTATGTTGTGCATTAATGTTTTTTTCATTTCTGTGAAGCACTTGGGTCAATTTTATACTGTTGTAAGGTGCCATACAAATAAAGTTGGCTTAACTAAAATTGAGTTATTTGGGCATAACAAGGGGTGTTATGCTTGGAGGAAAAAGAACACAGCATTCCAAGAAAAACACCTACTACCTACTGTAAAACATGGTGGTGGTTCCATCATGCTGTGGGCTGTGTGGCCAGTGCAGGGACTTGGAATCTTATTAAAGTTGAGGGACGCATGGATTCCCCTCAATATCAGCAGATTCTGGAGACCAATGTCCAGGAATCTGTGACAAAGCTGAAGCTGCACCGGGGCTGGATCTTTCAACAAGACGAGGACCCTAAATACTGCTAAACATCTACTAAGGCATTCATGCAGAGGAACAAGTAGAACGTTCTGGAATGACTATCTCAGCCCCCAGACCTGAACATTATTGAGAATCTGTGGTGTGAGTTAAACAGATCTGTCCATGCTCAAAAGCCATCAGACCTGAATGAACTAGAGATGTTTTGTAAAGAAAAATGATCTAAATACATTCAACCAGAATCCAGACTCTCATTAGAAGTTACAGGAAGTGTTTAGAGGCTGTTATTTCTGCAAAAGGTGGATCTACTAAATAATGAGCAAATTTCTCTTTTATGCTCCTGCATAAATTCTATAAACTTTGTCCATCTTCTCAAATATCACTGCGTGTCTGCTATATGATGTATTTAACAGAACTTTTTATCGTAACAACCAACGATTTATTCAGGAAAATCATGATTAACAAGGCTGGCCAAACCTTCACACCGCACTGTAGATAAGTTCATGTCTGCAGTCAGATGTGTTTTGCTCCACCTCAGAGCTGTGTTTCTGCTCCCAGATGTTTTGCTACACATACAGATGTACTCTACTCCAGTTTGAGTCATCCTGTTCTCACACAGTATTCTGGTTGTGAAATGTCTCTTCTCAGATTTTCACGGTTTGCTCTAAGATTGTGAAACAAAATTGCCCAAACCAATAAAAATCCCAGAAATGACGCTGACCCCTTCCTTCATGTGTGCTCTCTTTACTCTGCAGAAGGTCTCCTTCTCCACTGATAACTGCTTAACTAGACTCCGTGTCTCCCACACAGACCTATAACAATTTACCACGTCCACCTAGAACCTCTAGACACATTTAATCTTTTTTAACTTTAAAAAATGCTGCAGAAAACATTTGACTTCTTTTTGCACTGAAGGAGCGCGGAGCCTCTGTCTGATTGCATGTGGTATTAGCTGGAGTCTGGCACTGTATGTCAATATGAAACAGGGAAAATCTAATCAAGTTAGTTTCAGTATTGACAGGTCAGAGTGACTAAGGTCTGCTCAGCTGTATTTGATTTAAAAAAGATTTTTTTAACCAAAGCAAAGTTTGAAAAATAAAAAAACTATCATTTCCATTAAAGTCTGTATTTCCAGTTTTCACACCTGTGTGTCCTGTTTGCCATATTTACTACTGAGACCAGTTTCATGTGTTTTCATGGAAAACAAGAAAATGTTATCCCAAATTTGCTGGGTTCCTTTTATAGGAAACATTTTTTCTGATTGGCTTAATGAACTGACCTGGATTGGAATGTTTATTATGTGAAATGCCTTGAGATGACTTTTGTCGTGATTTGGCGCAATATAAATAAAATTGAATACAATTGAATTGAATAGTATATTTGCAAACTATTCCTACACATTCTGCTTAATTTAATATCAAAGAATATATTATTTCAAATATCATGAGCCTCACTCTAAGGAAAACCTTGAAAATGCACAATCACTTTGCTAATTTCCTGTTAACTTATGGGATAATGAAGATCATTTAGAATTACATACCGTAAATCCTCTAATACAGGCCCGGGCCTGTATTTGACTCAAGCTCATCAAGCTCCAGGCCTTTATTGGAAGGAGGGCCAGTATTAGAGGCAGGCCTCTATTTCTATTTGAGCAAAATGAACTAATGGTTCACTGGAGTTTTTGACAATTAATATTGAGCCCACATTTTCAAAGTTAAACACATTTCTTTTAACAACGGTAGTTTCTACTTCAGCCCTCTCCCCTCTCCCCCCTCCCCCTGCTTCAGCCCTCTCCCCCCTCCCCCTGCTTCAGCCCTCTCCCCTCTCCCCCCTCCCCCTGCTTCAGCCCTCCCCCCCTCCCCCTGCTTCAGCCCTCTCCCCCCTCCCCCTGCTTCAGCCCTCTCCCCCCTCCCCCTGCTTCAGCCCTCTCCCCCTCCCCCCTCCCCCTGCGCAGCAGCCGCAAACTCACTGATGCGCCTGCAGCCTCTCGGAGTTCCTGCTGCTCTAAACATTAAAATAATTATTTCATTTTCTGTTCCTCACTTCTGATTACCTTCAATGGTGTCTGTTTGTTGCAACCAGCAGGTACAAAAACTAACTTGTTTTTATTTGACTATTTTTCTGTCCTGCCTGTTTATTATCTTCCTGCATCTCCTCTCAGTCCTAAAGAGAAACTGCTACCTGGGTTCATATATATTCACCTCATGAGTTACCTTTGAACTGCAGTTCTAAAAGACCTACAGACCGAAAAAAACAGCGGAGTGCTCGCTGCTTGGCGGCCGCATCGGTGATCGGTGCGTCACCGGATGACAAGGTGATGCGCCCCGCTCCACAGCAAAACGCATCAGGCGCAAATAAAAGACAGAAAACATCAAAGGAAATGAACCGACATGAACGATCGCATGTTAAATAATTTGGCAACACCTGATTGTTACTGTGGCCGTGCTCAGGAGGCAGATTACCGACCGCAAAAACAGCGGAGCGCTCCCTGCTTGGCGGCCGCATCAGTGATCTGTGCGTCGGAGGACAAGGTGATGCGTCCCGCTCCACAGCAGCGAAACACATCAGGCGCAAATAAAAGACAGAAAACATTAAAGGAAATGAGCCGACATGAACGATCGCGTGTCAGTACCGACGCTCTATTTAGAATTAGAATTTCTACCAAACAAAAGCACTATTTTCTAGTTCTTAGCGAAAAACACAACATATGCAAAAAGGTCAGGTTTTTCATTTTTATTTTTGGTCTTTCACCGCATTCTTCTAGTTATTTGTGCTGTCTGAGCTCCATAAACCTGTTATTTCTTGTCTGAGAGGAAATCTCTGGAGTAAAATGGGGAAGAAGTGGAAATGAAACATCTGTAATTACTACAATTGGTTACAATATCAAAGGTGGTGCTCCTGAAATCAACAGAAGAAATCTGAACACAAAAAAGAGAAGCTCAAACCAGAATCCAGGAGTAGCACAGCAGCAAAAGAGATTTTTCTTTCAAATTACAAAAATTTGATCTTAATAATAAAAAATATCTTCCTCAAAACACCTGAATGTAAAGCTACAGTAACAACCAGGGGAGTACCCAATGGAGACTGCAAACCACTGAAATACAAAATATGATTTGGTCAATCCTCGTTCTCATTTTGAGGACCTCCGATCTGGAACGATCTGCCATCTGCAACAAAGCTGTTAACACATTTTACAACTTCACTTAACTCCCAGGTGAAAAAATGGCTGAAACAAGTATAAACTTGTGAACACTGATGTTTCTTATCAGCTCAACTAATTAATTTACTGTGTGTGTGTGTGTGTGTGTGTGTGTGTGTGTGGTGATTATTTTTATAAATTCTGTTAAATGATTTTCTCTAAAAGTCCAACCAAGGACTAGGTTTGCAAATTAGCCTCTGGCAAGAAAACCTCCAACGGTTGCATTGCCCTTACATGTAACATTGTCTTTGAGCTCTCCTAAACTAAACTAAACTAAACTAAACTAAACTAAACTAAACTAAACTAAACTAAACCATCCACCTACAAAAAGCAGTTTACCTTGAGGGTCAACGTCTTTGGCTAGTTTAAGTGCATCGGAGTTGGCCAGGTCAGAGTTTGCTGGTGTGACGGCCAGAATGAGACAGTTTTCCTTACAGATATACTGCATGATAATGTCTCGTATCTGGTACTCTATGTCTGCAGGCTGGTCACCGACTGGAACCTTGGTGATGCCGGGCAAGTCCACAAGTGTCAAGTTCAGCACTGTAAACATAAATCAACACACATTTTAGATTGTTAAAAACTGTAAGTAAAATACATGAAGTGTGCTAGTGAAACACACACACACACACACACACACACACACACACACACTGTTACCATGTGGTGAGTGAATCTGTAGGGTGATGGGGACCGGAGAAATGCTTTTATTTGATCCTGTCAGTCTGAGCGTCTCTGCTTCGATTTCCTTGCAGATCTCATCAAAATCTGTGAACTTTTTTCCTTTACAGTGAAAGAATTCCCCGTACTCTACAGGAAACACAGCGAGGGGAAGAAAAGGCACAGATTTGAAATGACATCAAAGTTTCTCTTTGATTTAAAGTCAGTCGAACGAGCAACAAAAGAGCTCCGTTTATAACTGAGGCTGGACTAAGTACTACACTATCTATTACAGCCACCACAGGATAACTATGTCACAGTTCTGAATGTTAAACATAACCCCATCATTGGGAAAGATATCATGCTGCCACCTAGTGTTGGTTGTGTATACATGCTAGAGCCTGTGCTGTTACCTGTGTCTGAGTTCAGCAGCTGGAGGATTAAAGGTCTGCGAGTCACGATTCCTGAACCTCGTGGAAGAAAGTCTCTGTTAGATGAGAGAGATTGATATGGGATAGAAATTACCACACAGATGAACACAATGCTCTACCAGAAGCTGGCATCTCCTCCAAGTGGCAACAGCATTAGTTTAAATTTAGATACCCTCTAAAACATCAAACTAAACCTAAAATTTACAAAAAATTATTTACCATATGATGTGTAAATATAGAGCATTGTTTTGAAATGAAATATAAGGTGAAAAATCTCCTCCCCTTCCTTTAAAATTCTCATTCAGGAAGTTTGTTTTATTACATCCTGTCTTTCATCAGACAGCTACAGTCCACCATGGTGCTGGTTAAGACAGAAACTCCACTGAAACAACCCCGGGAGTCATGAGTTAGATGCTGTATTTTTAGCACCATGAAGTATTTTAAAAGCCAGAGAAAGATGCAGCAGCAGTGTTTTAATGTGCAGGCAGGAAGGTCTTCTGCTCCTGTTATTGCTCAGAGGTCATGTTTACCCCCAGCCTCTTCACAGCTAAAGTGCTGCTCTGACTGCTGTCACTCGGTCACGAGCAGCATTCACCACTACACGCCGGCAAATATATGCAGCTTGGAGATCATGATGCATAAATGAGATTCATTATAGGAAATACCAAGCAGGTTCCTGAGTTGCATGCATTGTTTTACTTTTCACAATACAATTGATGATATATTATAAATCTGCGTTCTGAATCACGTAACTACAGACAGCAGATGTTTAAAAACCAAAAATATACTTCTCAGGATTTATTCATCATGAGGCATTTTAAGCCTTCTCCATTTTTAGTTACTTTTTCTGCAGGCTTGATTACCACACCAATTTAGTATTTAGTTGTTCATTTCCCTGTGAACGTTTGTTTTTATTTCATTGTTATTTTGGTGTTTAAATAAGGAATTAATGAATTCATACTTAAGTTTTCAAATTCAGACAGCACACCAAGGCTTAAAGAGTGTAAAAGTGATGGCAAGTCAGGATATGTGGCTATAGAGCATAATCATTTTGCTTTGGCTACTGTTTGATTTCTAGGCTACCATAAAGGATCAAATGTGTATTTGGTAATTTAACGATATGCCAATGAACCATGGTGTTTACAATTTGAAGTTCTTGATCTTTTGTTGAAATGTGTGGTACCTACATTGATAGTGTAGCTCACACCATCAGGAAAACAAAATCTTGGCAAACGTTTATCCTTTAGCATAACAGGGTTCGTACACTTCTGCCAAAATACAATTTAACACTGAGATTTTTAGATTTAGTCTTGATTTCCATTAACAGTGCATGCTCATGTTTAATGTTGTCTCATCAGTAGGCTAAATGTTATTAAGCTATACTGTAGAAATGCAAGGCCCTCCTAAATGTAGAAAATGCTAAATTAACATTCAGGCATTTTCAAACATCCTCAATAATAAAAATATTACTATTAGGGAGTAAATAAGGCTCTTGTGCCTAGACAATACAATCTTTATGTCTAAGAGTTTAATCTGAGGATCCATCTGACTCAGTTCTAGCTGGGAAAGATGCCCCTTTTGGGGATTTCTCCACCACTTCTCTGAAACTCCTCCGAGCCACATGGGGACTTTTCCCAGGCCAGATTTAGGTGTTTGTTTACCTGCCCACAAAGTTCTCCAGAACGGAGCTCTTCCCCGCACTCTGGCCCCCCACCACGGCGATCTGCGGTAGGTGGAGGTGGCAGCTCTGCCCCACGCTGCCCAGGGCTCCTTGGAGCTGGTTGACTAGCGGGATCAGGTCCTCCATCCCGCGGTTGCCCATCGCAACAGGAACCGCTACCTGCCCAACCCCTTTCAGTTGCGTTTTCTCCTGATTCAGTCAATCATGTAACCAACATTCTTAGTTGGAATGGAAATAATAGCAGCGCAACTTTAAAAACTCTAAATAAAAGGAGTTTTTAGGGTAGGTGCTACCTTTAAAAGGTCCTCACTTGGACAACCCGTTAGCGCCTCAGAGGAACGTCGACAGTCGCTGACAGAAAACTAATAAAAAGCTCGCTGAAGCCACGTTTCTTGTTTCTAAAGTAAAAAATTTCCATTTAGTCGCTTCCTTTAACTCTGGACTCGTTTCATGGCTTGTAGCGGGGCTAAGTTTGCTCCATGGATAGTTGAAAAACAGTCTGCACTGACAGCTAACGGAATGAAGTTTACTACGCATGCGCCTTAAGTCTAGGTGGGTAACCCCCCCTCCTTTAACAGAAGATGGACAAAGTTAGGGGCCAATTACAAGAGCCCTAAAACGCAATTACTCCACTGACCCACTGCCATTTAAACTCTCACACGGCTACTACGGGTAGGACCCCACTGCAGCTCTACAAACACAGCAGCTAGAGCCAGAGGGAGCTCTTCAACTGTAAATAACACTGCTGCATTCTTTACTCGTGAGGGAGTGTGCTGGAAACCAGAGATAAAGGACTGAGAAACTCATGTGTATATTTAATAGTGATTTGACGCAGCCACTCCATCAAGTACCCACATTTTAAATGTTTGATCATGCACACACTGAACAAAGCCAAAGCTTCATGATTTTAAAACCCACAGAACACAACCTTTACTCTACTTTCAGGTCTTTTAACATCTCTGCAATGTCGATATGGGGCCTGCATTTAGTTTGAGTCCTGTCAGAGCACAGAGTGCTCTGCAGATTCTTGGCTGCCTGGCTCAAGGATGGAAGGATGTGGGCGGTGTCCTTTTGTTCTCGGCAGCACAGGAGAACTTCGTTGATTTCCTCGGCCATCTTTCGAGAGAGAACGCTGGGAAACATGCTCCTCACGCGCTCAAGAACAGTTTTCCTCAGGGCTGGGTCACGACACACGAGGTTCAGCATAAAAAGTCCTGGAAGGGAGACATTTTGGATGATGATGACGTTGTTGAAAAGACTCAATCAAATGATAAGCAGTTTATTGTGCAATTATTTTACTTATGCCCTAATTCTGGCATTTACTTTCACCATGATACTGACATGAACTCAAAACATTCTTGCCTCGTCTTGCCTACGTATTTTCAGTTGCTACCTCTTTCCTGCATTCCAAAGTTGCGCAACATTTGAAAAATAAAAAGTATTTTTTCTCACAGCACATAAGACATAGCAACATCTGGGATACCAAACAATGTACTTTTTTACATTAATGCAGTCCTCTTTAAAAAAGAATGCACTCCGTTAACTCTGGTTTCCTAATTTAATTTCTTGCCCACATGTTTATATCAGATACTGAATAAAGATTTTTTTTAAATGCAGACATCTGAAAAATACCCCCATACACAAACAACTTACCAAGTAGTGTTTCTATGGATACATTGTAATTTCTTAATAGATATTCTAGTAAGAGATAAACTTTGTCTTAATCCATGTGGATCTATGACTAATTCAACAGGTGAACTAGTAGTAGCACATTCCATGTCAAAAAAGGTGAAATGTTACTACAGATAGATAGTGACCCCACCAACATCGGTGGTTGCTCTGACACCCAAACATGTCAACAAAGGTTAAAAACAAGCTCTATTTGCTCTGTGTGTAAAGAAGAACCACAAAAATGAAAACGTTCAGTGTGACTGTTCAAGCTGCCTTTTAGTGAATGAAAATGGACCATGTGTGTTTTTTTTTATTGCTGTAATTATACACTTACTCCAGGAGTTCTGGGTAATTACAGTTCTGTATCTAACCTTTATTTCTACAATCCTTGAAAAAATCCTTGCAAAGCAACTGAACTGGCATTTACAAAGAAATAATCAGAGTAGTTTCTGTCAGGATTTGAAGTTCATCACAGCAAAGAAACAGCTCCTCAGTGTTGGACTTAACTGATTAATTGATCGATTGATTACAACGTAACAGAGGCTTAAGCATGATATAATGATTAATGGAACAGCATTAAGTCTTATACTGTGTTATTTATATTTGTTCGTATTAATTCTGAATCACAAAAATAAACACAATAAAGAATGTGCAAGAATCCGAATTCTAGACCTGCTGAAAGAGACAGAGGAAAGAAAACTGACACAAAAATACAACAGAACCAAAATTTCACTGATATTGCCAACAACATGATATATAACAGTAACAATTGCTGAAACACACATGGTAATAATTCATAGTGCATGTAGTGCCGACCACAGCCCTAGGTCAAGTATCAAAAACGCCTGAGTACATCCTTGTGAGAGCACAACGCTGCTGGTTCCCCTGTATATGCATGTTTAGTGCAAACTTAATTACCTGTGATTTTATAATTGACTCAATCTAATTTACTAAAAATGCATTTAACTGACTGAAAATCTGGACCTGAAATAAACTGATTGTTGCTTTTGTGCTGCGCTTTGAGTTGGATTTTTTGTGAAATAAACTGAACAGATTTCCAAACTTGGCTGATATGCATATTGTAGAAAAATATAACAAGTGCTTCTCTTCCATCTGTTTCCCTGAGAATCACTCTTTTGTATTTTTTGAACATTTTTGAAAGAAAATGACACATCATTACTAACCTTAGATTGTTCGACCTTAACTTTTTCTGAACGTTTTGCAGGCATGAAGGTAACAGAATAGCAAATTAAATTAAGTAGACCGCAAATAAACAAATGCTACAATATATTTTGTCATTTTATCTGCAATAAAACAATCAACAAAGCAACTTTAGGAATTTTGTCCTTGTTTAGTTAGTTTCCTAAATATGGTTTTTCCAAATTAGGAATTTAATGTCAGTTTTAAAATTTATCATCATTTACCTCTGGCAGTGAGCAAGTCAAAAACTTTCTGCAGAATGGGGGTTTCTACGAAGGCAGCGGGAGGACAGCTCATTCCCAAAGAGCTGTCTTTACTGTCAACATCAAACATGATGACATCAAAGAAGTGACCGCCTACACAAAGAAGAAACACAAGGGTCACATCTTGGTATTAATAGATTAACTAATATATATCCTCACGTTTATTAGCTTCCCTCCCACAACCGACCTTCTTCCTCCAGGGCACAAATGCGCTCCAGGCCATCCCCAACAGTAACAGTCAAATGGTCATCTGGTCTGAACCCAAACCACTCCTTTGCCACCTCCAGGACAACAGGGTCCAGTTCTACAACCTCGATTGATACATTGGGCACAAAGTCCCGCAGAAACTGAGGCAGGCCTCCCCCACCAAGCCCCACCAGGAGCACTGATACAGGAACATCTTAAAAGATTGGGAGGACCAGATCAATGCGTGTAAATAGGAAGCATTCTGCAGTCTCATGCATGGTGCACAGTAAGTTCTCCTTTTTGCACAAAATCTCAACACACAAACACACCTTTGTTCTGTGGCATGCCCACCCCAAGGACAGTAAGCCCAGCCACCATGACTTCATGGTGAGCACAGCAGAGGAAGCCACTGTCCACTGACAGAGGAGGTGGAGATGTGACTGCCGTCTTCACTTTCTTTTTGTTCTTCCTTTGACTTGATGCTGCAGGGACACAAATACTCATTTACTCTACCTCCTCATACGTTATAGTAAGCTTGTTTGTAGCCGAAGACTATGTAAGTGATGACTATAATTTAAAGAGCTGATTATTTCTTCTATGTATGCAAACATCTTTACAATGCTTACAGACACTGGTTACAGTCTACTATAAAGAACCCACCCTGCATGGTCATGTTCAAGGTTATGTCCATTTGCAGATTTACATTAAATCAGTGCAAAAGTTATACAAATGCACATGCTTGCAAAACCACCAAATAGCTTAAGGCAAAACAAATTAGGAATTTTTTTAAGTAACTTACAGATATTATGACTGATTAACATTTATTTTTGTCCAGTGAAATTTATATTTTTCAATGTTTTGACTTTTCTTTTTACTTTGAATGTTTAAGATTCTGATCCTTCTGTAATTGACAGTTTGTTACAATATTAACAATTTTTTTGTGTTTCCATTTTGTGGTTACTGTTTTGTGAAAGATCAATAAATAAATAAAAAAAATAGTCATTTTAATCTGCACTAAAGCGTCCAGAGATATGAGAGGCTGCACTAATAGATTTATACAGCAACCTGGAGGGGACAAACCAAACAACTACTTTTTCACAGAAATAAATAGAGATGCTCGATATTAGCTTTTTACCAATATCTGTTATTCCAATATTGTCTGACTCTTAATTTCCAATACCAATATAAACAAATACCAATAAATGCTGAGTCCCCCCTTGTAAAAAGAGAGAAAAAAAATTAGGTTACTAACATTACATTTCTCCAATCATTATTACTTAAATTTTAAACATTTTCTGTGCAAAAAGACTACTTCAATTTAAGTCAGTAATAGGAAAAATGCCATATTTATTTGTCTCCAACAGCAGCTGAATCTCGTTCTCCTTTAGTGTGATGCTAAGTTGTGTTTATTAGTAAAGTATTTTTTATTTCTGTATATTGCATTTACTGTGATAAAACATTTATAAACATCTTCAGATAGAAAGGCCGGTCTTTGGTGAAGATTCTTACTTTTGTGGTTTGTTAGCTGTCTAGCTACACATAGCTACATGCTTCACACAGGGCAAATATCTGCTTCACAAGATGTGCCAAATATCTAAAATATCTCAAAAACTGTCTTATTTTTGCATTTTGAGAGGGAGAAGTAGCTGAAGAGTTTGATGTACAATATGTGTATGGTATGTAAAGGTTGGGTAATTAAAGAGCAAGTCACTCCAAATCAACTTTTTTTTGCTCATAAACTAAATAAATGAGTCTGATCATGCTGTAGACATGTACAGTCAATAATTCGACACTTTAGTGCATCTTAGTTCAGGTTTAAATATTTTGCCTATAACTGTCAGTGTTGCACTATCGTCAGGTAAAAACTGCACTGCATTTGAATTTAAATCTGCCATCGCTATTGGCTAAAAGGTACACTATGATGTTAGATGGTACATTATGATGTCACAATGTTGTGTGTGTGTGTATTTGTTAGCAGCTCTGCCCTCTCGGTCTGCTAGGCTACAGCCTTTGTTGCATTTTTCAAACAGGAAGTGGGAGTGGAGTAAGAATTGGGTAGGGGTGACTTGCTCTTTAAATGACTGAAAACCGATACAAATGTTTTTTGATATTAAATTTTATTGCCAATATCGGCCAATATTACTGGTAGACCAATAATACTGAACAACCCTTGAAATAAGTAACAATTAACATTCATATGTGTGCTTTACATTTTATGATATTTTTGCTGTTAATTTATAAAAAAAATTTTTTTACAACATTGCAAGGAAAGACACAGGAAAGAATGACAAAAAAATGACAAAAACTTCCCTCTGGGATTAATAAAGTATCTTTGAATTGAACTGGATTGAAAAACAAACCCGTGTTAGATGAGACGAGTCGGCTCTCCGACTGAACGAGGGCAACATTTGACAGGAACACAAGTCGACGATAAAGTTCTCCATCTTCTCCTCTGACATTCTCCACACAATACTCGCCACTGAGCCGACTCACACCTCTGCTCACATCCTCTCGCCAACCGAGGTCACCCCCCACTGACAGAAACGGCACCTAAACAAGAAAAGGTCACTCAAATTAATATCCTGATGTGCTTGGTGTTATTGCACATTTTAATCTTTTGAAAAGTAGTTCTAAAATAAATGTTATCGGCCTAAATGTGTTTACCTGCTGGTTGGTTGGCATACACGGTGGAGCCAGGTCCATGACCACAGGTGAGAGCTCTGACTGGACAGCTTGCATGTCTGTGTACTCCTGATTTCTGTGCATCAAAACAATAACCAGGCGCCGGAAGTTTGCACTGGCTGCCAGCTGCTTCCTGCCCTCAACAGAGCTATAGAGCCAAGCTGTCTCACTCCCTTGTGGAACTGGCAAAACAAACGGAAAGAATAAGGTAAGAGGAAAAAATACAACTATTGCAACAAACAAAATGGAAGCTCACCAATAAATATAGCAAACTGGTTGGATCGTGGCACCTTGGCTCCAGGTGGACAGTCTTGCACTGTAAGAGTGTATCTGGGCAGTCCTGTTTTGACGTGGCAGAGAGTTAGTGAGAGATTTGAGCCAGGATCAGTGCTTGTGCGGAGCCGCTTCCTCAAAACAGAATAAGCCTGATACTCTCTCACAGACGATAACAGTTCATTAACTTGTGTGTGCCGGACAGGGGCACCATCATCCCCAATACACATCTCAAGAATGGGCATAGGCATTGGCTGACGGAATTTAGTGCAGACTAGGACGAAAATGGGCAGAGCAAAGGAGTCTTCCTCTTCAGCACCTCTTTCCTCCTGCAGGCAGTGGAGTCTCACCGCCCATCCAAGCTGAACAAAGTGCTCCACAGCTAACCTAATCACGCTCTCCTGGGCCAGCGTCACACAGATGTACCTCCCTCCAACACAGAGAACACGGCTTACCTGCAAAATCAAAAAGTACAGTAAGAAACACACTAGCGTCCGTAATAGTGATTCGCTGTTTATCACATGAGATGATTTCTCACCTCAGTGAGCATTTTCCCAGCCAACACTCCTTCCTCTTGTGACGCCATAGCATCCAGGGTGCCCTTGTCCAGAGCAGCCTGGTAGCTGACATCCTCATATGGAGTCTGAGTAGCATCCACCTGATGGAAAAGCAGGCCAGGCCTTCGCTCTGCATTCCTCTGGCTCATATGTGTCACCACTGTCTCACTTATGTCTATATTCATCAGATGTTTGTAGCCCACGTCATACAGCTGTTCGCTCAGCTCAGAGTTACCGCAACCAACCACCAGCACCTAAACATGCAACAAAAGACAATAAAAATAAAATCACATTTCATGACAAGAAATTAGCGCACTGACATATAAACAAAATGCTGTAATAATATAAAGAATAATGATTACTGTTCAGTTAATTTAAGTCTAGAAACGCTGCACTGAATTGTTTTATGCTATGTCACACATCACCTTATCCGTCACTTTGATGTATTTGTGCAAGACGCCGCACAGTTTGTTGTAGTCTCCATACCACTCAAAAGCCTTTTCTCCGCGCTTTTTAAAGAATTTCTCCCAGTATTCAGCTGAGCTAAACTCCTCGGCGGTTCGGGGTAAAAGACTCATTTTTACGTGTTTTGGTTTCTACTCTCCAGCACGGTTTTCACTCCACATGGCACCGAGCTCACGTTTCTACCCGGACACGGTTCTTACTAGTGCCTACGGGTGATTGGTTAACCTTTGTAGGCGGAGTCATATACTGCTCGCTGATTCGCTTAGACACTAAGAGCGGATTTTATTGGTTACTGCAAAGCTGCAAGGTCCGGTTGTGTTAGTTTTCCGGGTGATTTTCATCATGGCTGGTAGAACTGTGGTATTTGTGACTGGAAATGCAAAAAAACTCGAAGAAGTAAGAATTTTTATCCTGTTTTTCATTTTCCTGCTTTGTTTCGTGGCTACCCCAATATAGAACTTATTACGTCATTCCGGGTTCTGCTTGATATTTCTGAAAGGGGAACTGTTCCATTTTGTTCTGGTTCGTATGTGTTTTAGGTTGTTCAAATACTCGGAAACAAGTTTCCCTACAAACTAGTCTCAGAAAAGATCGATTGTAAGTACTCAGTGTGACACCACATCTAAAATGTAAGTTTATTGTAACTAAAGTGTCTTCTCTTTTTTCTCCTAAGTACCCGAGTACCAGGGAGAGCCAGATGAGATTTCTATTCAGAAGTGTAAGGAAGCTGCGCAGCAGGTACAGTATTTTAATTTGGAATGTTCTTCAAGAACCAGATGCTCTGTGAAGTAAAACTTTGTTTTTGTCCTTAAGATTGATGGACCAGTCATAGTAGAGGACACCTGCCTGTGTTTTAGGGCTTTGGGAGGACTACCTGGTCCTTACATGTGGGTACAGTTTATAATAAAGTATTAAACTGCTAATGCGCTCAGATTGGGATAACGAGTTGTAAACATGTTTATGTTTGTAGCAAATGGTTTCTTGATAAACTCAAACCAGAGGGTAAGTGATTAAATAAAATGTACATCTTGATGTATAACAAAAAGTTTTTAAAAATCTTGTTTTGGGGTCTGACGTTGTGTTTTAGGTTTGTACAAACTTCTAGCTGGGTTTGAAGACAAGTCAGCGTGGGCTCTCTGCACCTTTGCGTTCTGTGCTGGTAAAGATGAACCTGTGCAGCTGTTCAGAGGGAAAACAGAGGTCAGAATGACTCTTTTCATGTTCTGGTTTGTGTATTTCCTGCTTACATATTCATTGTGTTGTTCCAGGGACAAATTGTGGAACCAAGGGGGCCAAAAGACTTTGGATGGGACCCTTGTTTCCAGCCAAATGGATTTGAGAAAACGTAGGCACACTTACTTAACCACTAGAGGGAGCCAGATGATAACACACTTTCTCAGAGCTTAATCTGTGAAGCACCATGGCGGTGATTCTACCGTACATTTGTTCAAATTACAGCATTTCTTTTTCATTCTTTTCTTCTTCTTTTTTAATCTCCAGTTACGCTGAACTTCCCAAAGAAGTAAAGAATTCAATCTCTCATCGGTATCGGGCGCTCGCTGCTATGTCCGAGCACTTCTCACAGGCCAACAGTACTTCACCAGAGAGCAAGAAGATAAAGGAGGAGGATTAAACACTCCTCAATGAAAATTATATAGCAATATACGTGTAAAAATTAGAGTAAATGGTTTAAAACCAAAAGATTTTTGTTGCAACATTAATCTAAGTTTGAGGAGGTTCTGCATGTTCTTTTCAATAAAGTATCTGTAATTTTTAAACTAATGCACTTATCTTCCTTCTTACATTTAGATGTTTTTAGCTTCTTTTCTTTCAGCAATAACACGTGGTTTATGAGAAATTATTAGAAGTTGGTGGAGGCTTCTTCAAGTTTTGTTTTGATCTAGAGTACAAACTCAATGGTAACCTTTTGAATTTTAGTTTCCTGGGATTGACAGAGATAGACTTGGAGAATACCATAATTCATGAACTGAACAGCTCCAGGGTCCTGATGAGAGCAGCAGACTATTCCGTTGCTACAGCTGGTCCTTGGATTTGGCTGAAGAAGCAGAATATTGTTCTGACTGGAGTCCAAAGAAGTCTTAGCAGGGATTTAGGAGGAGTTAGTCTCTGAAGGGGAGAGTGGGGTGACCATTAGACCAAGCCCCCACAATGCCTCTCTAAAAATGGTCCCAACCCGGAAGTAAGAAAAATTGCAGTTCCACCCTCATCCACTAGGGGCTGGTGTCAGAAGCGAGCAAATCCTCATTGACTCCCATGTTAAAAATGTCGATTTCACAGCAGAAATAAACATGTTTACAGCCTGGTACCAGAACATGTTTTTTGTCTAAATTATCTAGTTTATACTCATGACAACTCTGAGGGGGGTGAATTTTTTTCTCACTCTTCTGTTTAAGTGTATTGAAAGCCTAAAATTCGGTATAATTAATGAGCATCCGACCCACTTGACCGCCGCCTCAGACCCACGTGACCACAGAGCTAGCTCCGTTTAAAGGCCTCAGTACAGCCTCGGCCCCTCCTGGAAACTGTTTCGGGATTTTGAGTCTCTGTGCTTGTGAACAAGGCCGGATTAACCATATGGGCAACTGGGCAATTGCCCAGGGCCCACAAATTCTTAAGGGCCCAGGGCAGCAAGGGCACGAGCAAATTACTGTATCTGTAATCTCCCGCTTTATATTACCGTACGTCCTGTTTTCCCCGGACATGTCCGCTTGTCACTCTGTCCGGGATGTCCGGGTTCTTGTATTGATGAAAATGTCCGGCTTTTCATCTAGGAGCAGGGATGGGGAAGCTGTATATACACATTCAGGGGAGCTGAAAAAAAGTTTTCTACCTATATTACTATATTATCATTCATGGACTCTTTTCAGCAGAGAGCGGCAGAGCGATGATCGGTGCGCAGCGCTCCAGGCTGCTGCGTCCAGCGCACGGTCCATTCTCAAAGTGGCGCAGCCAAAAAACTATAATTAGCACACGATCGTTAATGTCCGCACATGTTCTCTACTTTCTGTCTTATTTGTGCTTGAAGCGCTCTGCCACTGCGGAGCTCATCACCTGTGCTGCGGTGATTTCACCTCACTGACGCATCGAAACGCGCTCTCCGCTTTGCAGTCAGGAGATCCCTTTGATCTGCTCAGAAGTAACCGATGAGGTGAAAAAGTAAGAATCCAGGCAGCAGATTTTCTGGAGAGTTTAGAGGAGATGCAGGAAGATGAGAGACAGACAGGACAGGAAATAGTTAAATAAAAACAAAAAAACAAAACAAAGTGTTGAAAAGTAAAATGTAGGTAGATTTATCTCTACTACACGTTTTTACCTGTATAAAACAATAAGTTAAGCACATGTCATATTTATACATCTGATACAATTCAGATCACCTTCACAACTCAGTCACACACCCAGGGCCGTTTCAAGACATTTTGGGGGCCAAGGCAAAATTACCCCCCCCCCCCCCCCACACACACACACACACACACACCACCACCACCACCACCACCACTACCCCATAACGGGGCTCCCCAGAAGCCTCTGTGTAATCCATGCCCTCTCCAGTAGTGTTAGTTATATGGTGTTTATAAAAGCCCCTCAGACATTACTGACATGTTCTAATATTATCAGATGAAAAACTAAATTATCAGACATGCTGTCTCATCTGCTGCTTTTCTAAACTTGTTAAAAGTAACAAAACCATCCGAAAGCCACTATTTGTGGATTCTCTGAAAGTTTCCATGGAGTGTGTGACAACTTATTTTTTCATTGATCCTATCGTCTAATCTCACAGCTGAAACAAGCATCCTTAATAATCTGTGCACAGGAAGCTTACCGATGGTGTAGTAAAACAAAAGGTATAATTTATTATTAATAAAACCTTGTTGCAGCACTAGAGCAGAAAAATGAGATTTTGCAGTAAATATGCTAAGTATTTATTGTTTTAGAGCCCTTTTATTGGCAGAATCTGATATTAATTTAGTTCTTACAAAAAAATGGGTCCCAGCGTGGTTTGTGTGGCGTTGCCATAGTGTGACGTCATAGGCACAGATCCCCTGTCCTCTTGTTTGGAAATGGAAATATGGTCACCCTGTATTAAACAAACTGTCTACCCGGGCTTTTGCGCTGCACAGAGACTGTTCGCTTTGAACGTCAGTTGAGAGTCAGTCTCTTGTAGACTGACCAATGAACAGAGGGCATCAAGTTAAGACTCTCTCCTCATTGGTCAGTCCACACAAGGTGGGTCAAAGGTTACCCTGAGCGGGTTACGTGAAGTCAGGCATTCAAGTATTGAGTATATTTACTGCATATTACAGTAATATATTCTGTATGTGACCATATTATGGTGATCCTTGGGTCGTGATGATGGGGCCCTTGAATATTGTTGCCCAGGGTACAACGAAGTCTTAATCTGGCCCTGCTTGTGAATTCTGTTTTGGATATTATTGGTGCAATTGTTGGACAAAATGACTTGCAGTGGTATTAATTGCACTAATAGAGCGTCCAAGGAGTCTCCACTTCATTTTTTTCGGTAAGTTAAAATCTATATTCGTATTTTATGTCACTGCTGCCTTTAAACTAGCTGAGTTTACCGAAGTAGCTAGCTAACTATAAGTTTAACATGTAGCATGTACTGTTTAACCATGAAATTTAAATGTAAAATACGGTAAAATAATTAATAGGGCATATTTAGATGGGTAATATGGTAAAAGATCAAAATGGGTTGAAATATGACGGAGCGCTAAGAGGGAGACTTCTGTGTCCATTCTTCCATCCGGTAATCCCCAGCGGTCAGGCCGGGCAGCCTGACCGATCCGGCGCCTACTTGCTGCGCCTAGCTGCTGCGTGGTCTGACCGCTCGTGGAGTTTTTCATGTCTGACTAACCGCATCTAATACTGTATTACGGCGTGAGCGCAACAGCGACAACTTAATATCGATGTGTAAGCAGCCTGAGTGGTAGGGTGTTTTCATCTGAACCCTTAAAATCTTCAGCAGGCTTGGAGTGACACCTGTGTCCATTCTTCCATCCGGTAATCCCCAGCGGCCAGGCCAGGCAGCCTGACAGGTGCGGCGGCTAGTTTCTGCTCGGGCTGACCGCTCGTGGAGCTCTCAGAGACAGATCTGACCGGAGAAATACTGCAGCTCGGTGAGAAGTCTATGGGGCCTACAGCGTTTCCCTTAAATCCCACCGCCACGCCGACAAGATCCCAAGTTTCTTTGTTTTTGTTGGCGCTGTTTACCGAAGAAGCAGCGGGAACTAATATGTTGTCGCTTGTGATCACAGCCGGCGGGTAGCAAGTATGTACAGTCTATGATTTTACCGCTCCCTCCTGCAGTCTTCCCCTATTAAAATTTAAAATGTGTAACTTTATGTATTGGGATGAATGACTAATCTTCATGTTAAACTCAAACGTTAGGTATTTAGGGGGGAAAACAAAATAATAAACATTATACAGATGTCAAATAAATCAAACTGTAATTAAACTATATATTTTCAAAGTCTCGATTCTGGATAAAATCCAACAACATATGCTTTATAAATAAACACTACACATGGCTTTTACACACACACACATGCATGCACGCAAGCACATTCACTCACTCACACACACACACACACACACACACACACACACACACACACACACACACACACACACACACACACACACACACACACACACACACACACACACACACACACACACACACACACACACACACACACACACACACAGTGATCTGGTGTACCAGTGTGTTCATGAAACCAAAGAAGTCCAATTGCCTTCTTTAAAAATCCATTTCATGTCATACTGAACAACTGTTGTATTTGATTCTAATTTTAATGATTCTGTTTCAGGTGGAAATGCTGTGTGATTCCTGTGTCCTATGGCCCATGACCTGTGTCAGCCTTGCTGAGTTCTCTGTAGCAAGGTTTTCTGATGCTTGTGGCGGTTCCAGAGTGCACCTGATCCGGTCTAACACTTCACATCCCAGCACACGCACGAACACATGCTAGTTGATGTTTGTTGTTCATAATGTTTGTGGTTCATGGTTTACATGTTTATAGTTGTTCATCCCACGTTTTCTTGATGTGACGAAGTGGTAGGGATGATTTCCCATTCGTCCCTGTAATTTATTTCTGTAGTCTGCTGGCACTGTGATGGGGGATATTTTAACTGAAATGTGTCTTAGTGTGTCTTTATGTGAAAATGTTTTTTTGTATTGTAAAAACAGTTTTGTCTTTTGTTTATGTTAACATTTAGGTACCTTTATGTGGATGTTTATTTCCCTCTGGATTTAATGTTGGAGCACTGATTGGGGTGGATTGTTTGCAGGTGTGATTTGCTGGGGTATTTAAAGGAAGCCAGGTGGAGGCTTGGGGAGTTTTTGTTTTTGTTATGTGGTGATCTGTAAAAGGAAAGAGGTGAAATAAATGCAGGAGAAGCATTTTGGCTCTCTGGAAAAATGTCCCTGTGCTGCAGTTTGCCTCTAATACTTTCAACTTGAAGACCTTCTGGCTGCTCTACATTCTCACACTTGATGACTCTTCGAAATGTTTCTTCACAGGTGCAGCTGCTGGTTGCTGTTTTTATGTTGGTTTGCTAGTTGTATTAATTTTTCTCTTATTTACTTGTTTATCCTCTATCAGCAGTCTTTATACCAGATTGGTTCAGCATCTACATTCAATATTACTCAAGGGGAACCTTGTACACATTAAGGCTCCTTGTCATGAGCCGGGGTGAGTACTCCTGTTCTCTTAACCATCTGTGAG